TTTTTTTGCTTAATATTAAGGCATAATTTAGCAATTTTTTTATATGTACCTGTATGAAGCATCTGAAAATGTCATTAATACAGTAACTTAGAAGTGCTGACAAATACTTGATATCAAAATATCCTACTATRTTATTGGTACATTGTCTTCTATTTTCACTCATTTTGACTACATGTTATATGTCTCATGTTTTTGTTCTTTTCTCTTGATATTTTCTTCATCAATTSTCCCAAGAAACAAAAATGTGTAGTCTTTTCTCTTCACACTATTTTCTTAATTTGTTTTGTACACCTTTTTTCTTTCTTAGACTATTTTTCATCTGTTTTGCAATTGAAGTGAACTTAGAGCTTTACTTTTCTTTTTGTTATTTTGACATGTTTTGGATCTCTTACCAAAATTCTTGAGACATAAGTGGGAATTTCCAAATCAGGGGCTTAGCTCTGAAAAATATGTCACATCCACTGAAAGACATTTCTCAACTTCCTGTTTTTTTAATCTTAACTTGTGTTTCAATCTCTTCTTTTTAAATGAAAATTTTCAACTTGTTTTAACGGCATCACAGTTACTAAATTTCCTTTTCATAATGTAGGGTTATCTTTATAGCTCAGCTTCCCAGCTGTGTGGAGTAGAAATGAATGCAGACTTTTGCCAGTTGCAAGAAATGATGATTACAAAGTACAAGTTCATTGACAGAATACAGGTAACTAAATATATGTTTTATTTTATATATTTTTAACCAATGTGTACAAGGTATCTGGTTTAAGTGAGTGGCTGGTAAATCAGCATTCTGAGAAGTTTCTGTCTTTGCTTGTTTTGATCCTAAACAAAGGCTTTGCATTAGGAGAAAAAAACTCACAGTAGAGATGAAGAGGGAAATTATCAAAAGGTGAATCACTCAGCTTTTTTGTGACTGGATTTACCCATTGGCTCACACAAAACCGAYAGATATATATTAGCAGTTTCTCCAGTGAAATCAATGACATTGCCACTCACTTCTGTGAAACAGAGTGTTTGAAGAACTTCTGTCACAAATACAAAACTAAATGTCTGTGATTTGCTTTTGTTAGCAGAAAGGTGTTTGTAGGAATTGCAAGTTTGCATCTAAGGACACTTAAAGGACTTTCCTTTCATAGAATGTCAGTGTATATATACCTTCCACAAACAAAATGGCTTTCAAACAAAGTGCTGTCATTATGAGAACCATTTCCTATTTAATGGAACTAGTTCCATTATGGGAATAGCTACTAATATTTTAAAGAAGAAATAAATATTCCATTCTGAACAAAACCTGCTATTTTGTTACCAGCAAAAGTTGGTAAGTAGAATATGCTGGGTAGGATACTGGCTTTAATCCTGTGTTGTATGCATGCACTCTTGAAYGAAGTCACACAAACTGCTGAATATAGTAATTTCTTGGGAATTAAGGTAACCCAATTTTAAACTAGAAAGAGATAATAAAAACAAAATATTTAACACATAGTAAGCAGTATCATTGGGTTGCTCAATTCAGTCTCAGTTGCTGACAGTTTATCTCTAACCTTTGGGTTCTGCAAATGTTTTGTGTTCATAACACCTTATTGTGATGAAACTGAAAGTATAGTTAGGAACTCTGTCAAGTTAATTCAGKGGAGCTGGAGATCTATAAACGTGCTTTTCAGCCTTGTATATTTTTTATTATAAGCTTTTATGGTTTTCCTTCACACCTTGTAATTCTGCTGAAGTATTCATTTTGGAGCATAAAGATAAGATAATGGGTTTTCAAAGCAGTGCCCCAGGACTTACCTATTTGAGTCTCATTAGATGCTAATTTAGTCATGTGACTCCTGTTATCACACTGCTTTGAACATTTCAATCTTGAATTTTTATTTCACCCCCAAATGAATCCTCTCTAGGGGTACAYACCAGCTGAAAAATTGTGAGAATGCAGTTGCTGGTAACAATTCATGACACAAGTGTGAAAAACTTCTAACACACTCTGCTTAAATAGAGATTGTTTTTTTCAAGATATTTTGAATTTGTATTAGAATATTTTCCTAAAGGATAGCAAAGTGAAGTTATATCTTTAGTGGATAAATCTCTGAATGAAMCTTGTGTTTCTTTGGTCAGCATTTGGTTAAAGTACGTAGAAGATTGCTCAGCATCTTTTGCTATTTGAGCACTTAGACACTGGAAGGAAAATAAACAGTTCAATAGATCTCAGGGAATTTGAGACCTCAACTCAGAAATTGCCTATAATCATGAAAAGTGTGTATTCCAAGGGGCAACAGTGCAGTTTGAAAAACAGTTGCTGCCTCCTCTGTTGTGCCAGCACACAGCCAAGCAGATCAGAGAACTGGTTCAGGTGAAAAGGAGCCCAGCAATGTTGGGGTTTTGACTCGAGCAGTACTTGGAGTCTGGCTCATTGTGCATATGCTTATGTGGTCCGAAATTYCCCAGCAGGAATGAGGATGTGTTTGGGGATAATGAGGTGCTTAGGTCACTATGGTCACTTACTCTGTAAATGCAGATTAATTTTAGGTCAAGTCTTAAGTATCATTCAAGTCAAGGAAACATCAATAYACATTCAAAGTTTTCTAGCAGCTTAGGTATTTTGTGAATTGTGGCTTAAAATATTAAGACTGCCATTAGTATCCTATCTTGTGTATGGGGTAATTCTTCCCCAGGTGAAGGGCCCTGCATTTGCCCTTGTTGAATTTCAGGTTACGCTCTGCCCATTCCTCCARCCTGTCCAGGCCCTTCTGAAGGGCTGCATAACCCTCTGGGGTATTGGCCACTCCTCCCTGTCATCAGTGAACTTGCTCAGGAGGCATCTCCCCTTCATCCAAGTCAGTCATGGACGAGTTAAACAATACTGCATTGGTTTGTATTGATCCTTGGGGGATACCAGTRGTGACAAGGCTCCAACTAGACCCTGGGCCATTTTTTATGACCCTCTGGGATTTGCCAGTCAGTCARTTCTCAATACACCTCACTGTCCACTCATCCAGTCCTCACACCTGAGTTTGCCTGTGAGGATGTTGGGAGAGACAGTGTCAGCAGCCTTGCAGAAGTCACAGTARACAATCAGTGCTCTTCCCGGATCCATCCAGGTAGTTGGTTCATCACAGAAGGCAATCAGGTTRGTTAAGCATTACTTACTTTTAGTGAATCCATGCTGATTACTACTTACCTCTACAAAAGATATTCCAATTAACRTTTCTCATCAGATTTGGGATGCAGAATAATAGAATATCCTGAGTTGAAAAGGACCCACAGGGATCATCRAGTCAGATTGACAGATTTTTCTGTCTTTAAGCGAAAATCAAACACATCATAGTGTTAATGAGCATCCATATTCTCTTCTCTCACCTGTTTTGAAAAGTGACATGATGTGCTAATAYCCTTTTTGGTAGGTGAAGGTAGATGAAATCAAAGCAGCTCCTCCTATGCTGACTGGAGAGGCAGTTGTTTAGTAAGGTCCTTCCGTGCTACCTTTACAGCATTCCCAGTCTCAATATGCTTTGTGAGAATTCAGCTGTCAAATCTGGGTCTGTAGTGTCTTTTCTAGCTATAATCCTTCAGTAACCCACTGACCCTGTGAGATGCCTTTTAATATTCTCAAGATAGCTTCAACTAGATTAACTCCTTCCCTGMAATCACCGGGCATTTGTGATAAAATATGGGTAAGTTAAATGTAACAGCCATCACATACATCATCTCCTCTTTTATGGCACACAGTTTTAAACAAAAATTGAGATGTACTTTACCTCACTTAACATAATGGATAGAATATTTTAATTAGAAGAGTTAAATCTGATTTTTAAAATACTATGTAAAATACTAGTAAAATACTACTAAAATTCTGTGGTTATGGTAATGTATGTCAGCTTTATCTGCTATGAACCCAGTGAATTGCCTGTTTCTGTGACTGGTTCAAAAGGGTGGTAGCAGGTGCTGTATTAGGCTGACAGGCGTCATGACTACTCAAAGGCTGTATTTGTCTCTTAATTTATGCCTTGGGAAATTTTTCTCCTTCAGGTGGTTCATGCAGACATCTGTACTCAGCCCTCACTTCTGCAGAAGGCTGATGTTGTTGTAATGAATAATGTCTTTGAATATTTTCTTGACAGACAGGAACAGGCCAGGTAAGCTCTGTGTCCAAACAAGTTACCAATTTCTTTGGCAATGTGTGTGTAACCTTGTGAATTATGGAAAACCTTAAGGTTGTGCTTTTTGAAGGCACATACGTAATTTATATAAGGAAATTGTTTCAGACTGCCTATATTTAATTGTTATACTTAACTGCTAAGGTGTTCTGGCAGTTGTTTATTGTTAAACCCACTAAACACTGCTCCTTTGTTTACCCAAATGTTGCCCTGAATCCTTGCACTGATCTTTTAAAATAGTATCTTGCTGCTAAAAAATCTGAAATTACCATATCAGCATAAAGCTTAATCTTCAGAAATAAGACAGATCACTGACTTGTAGCTGTCAGAGCTTTAATATATACAGACTATAAAGCATGGTTATTAATGATATTTCTAATAGATCGTCATAAGGATGTGGTAGCAAACAAACACGTGGCCAAGGTTCTCTTTCAGGTAAAAGACACTCACAGATGAGATTTTGTAATCCAGCAGCATCAGTTTTAAATGTAAATAACTCGATCATCCGAAGTTTAGAATGGACAGTCAAAAAGGAGTATCTGTGTCTTTACTTGGTCCCAGCCAAGTCTGGCATTCTGTACCAGTCTCAGCTAAGGCTTGTTTTGCTGCCCTGGATACCATGTGGYAGTGCTCACCAGAGAGGCACAGAGTGGATGGGTGAAGGATAGTGGGTGTTTCAAAATGCCAAGAGATGCATTTCCAGGCACCTGACWGAGAATTCATTAGATTCTGTCATAACTCAGGGATAGTTGTTTAGTGTTGCTTTAGTTGCATGAAGACAAATGACATTTGAATAATGCTGGAAATCAAATTCTCTTTAGCCTAAATTGCCATTCTATGAGAAAAGATATTACTTGCAAAATAAAAAAAAAAAAAAAGGAATGCTGGGGGCTATATTTAAATACTCTGATTACTAATGTCTGAAGAGAAGTACTTTGTCACGACTGTACACGAAGTATGTATGTAAAGAGCAGTTTGTTGTGAAGCTTAATAAAGCACTGCACTTCAGGACTGGATTTTTTTCAAACCCAAAAATTTAAAGGGACCAAATGTCAGTGTTTAATTCTAGTTCAGAGTGAAAGTCTTGACAATACCAGTTAATATGCATGTATGTATGAGAATAAAAAGTTACAAAATCTGTCATTGTAAGACCATGTATTCCCTGTGGTTTTAACACAAAGCTTGATTTTATTCCTGTGAATATATTTGCTTAGATATTGGTARTGACTAATAAGTATGTATTGCAAGTCTTTAAGCTTAGTCTACCTCTGGCCAATAACCTGTAAGTTTAAGATTCCTCGTATATCAGAGATGGGTATTTTTTCCCCAAAAAGAATGTCACCTACCTTTACATGTGTTTCAGAGCTTGGGAATTTATTGCTTGTAATGTAAGGAAGAGAGGGTCGTTATTAGTGACCGTTCCAAGTCTTGAAGAATCACTTTCAAAGCTCCAGGTAAGTTCCCTCAGCCAGTTTTGGCTGACACACTTTGCCATTTTCTATCAAAGTGGCATTTCTGTAGTTGAAGTTAGCTGCTTGCCAGTATTGCTATAAGGAAGGATATGTAATTTTGTGCAGAATTAAAAGGTGTAAGAAGACTTTGGATTCTGTTTCGAGTTTGACCACCAACATAYCTTCCTGTGCTTTGATTATGCTCATGAAAAGTGAAAGTCCCACCCTGTATCAGTAGGCTGCATGAATCATTGTATTATCACGCRTATTATTAAAATATCTGTGCTGGGAGATTAAATACTTGAACACTTCCAGGGATGGTGACTCCACCACTTCCCTGGGCAGTATCCCTTCCAATGTGTAACCACTCTTTCAGTGGAGAAATTCTTCCTGATGTCCAACCTGAACTTCCCCTGGTACAGCTTGAGGCCATTTCCTCYCATCCTGTTGCCAGTTGCATGGGATTAGRGGCCACTCCACCTGGCTACAGCCTCCCTKCAGGCAGTTGTACAGAGTGATAAGGTCTCCCCWGAGCCTGCTTTTCTCCATGCTAAACTTCTCACAGGACCTGTGCTCCAGATCCTTCACCTGCTCCATTGTCCTCTGGACTTTCTCCAGTGCCTCCATGTCTTTGTAGTRAGGGGCCCAGAACTGGATGCAGGATTGGAGGTGCAGCCTCACCAGTSCCGAATGCAGGGGAGCAATCAYTGCCCTAGTTCTGCTAGACACACTCATTTTGATACAGGCCAGGATGTCAMTGSCCCTCTTGGCCACTTAGGCCACACTGCCATCAGACTTCTTCCCAGTTTAGGGGTAGATCTTCGGAAGTACAATGTAGATATAAACTTTTAGAGATAAAACTTGTCTCTATTTAGTTCTATCTTTGCACATTGCCTTGAAATGTGAGAAAACTCTTTTGTTAAGCCAGTGGGAGAAAGGGACATATTAAAGGAATATCATCCCACAGGACACTGTCTTCTGATCTGTTTTCTTCATAGAAAGYTACTCATAATATGCTGGTAGGAGCTTTTGGAGGCACAGATTAGGGAGAGATATAGTCTCCTGTCTAGCCAAGTGACTACCGTAGGTGTCTCAAGTCAGTTACATAGCTTTAAATTGGAGTTGGAAATAAACACAAGGGCTGTGCATCTTTCGAAGATGTTGAACGCCCTGTGCTGTTCTCTGACTATTAACCACTTCCARTGGACCACGCTCTGCTCTCTGTTCTGCCACTGATCATTGGTAGGTCATGTATGTGATGCCTAAACAAATTTTGTGTTCTAGCTTTAGTTAGGAAGAAAAATGCCGATCAGACATGACAAGGTTATGTATAAAGTGACTTGMTCACCACAGTAGTTAGTTTTAGAGAAATTGAATCATTTGTTGCCTGTATACTGATGGGTGAAACAGATCCTCAGCCCCAAGAGCAACAGTGGTGTCATTTGAACTTTWCTTGGAGCAGGCTGTAGTCACACAGAAGCTGAGACACCCTTTGTAGCCTTAATACAATACTCCCTGAGTGTAAAACAAAAAAATACCTGCGATTCTTCCATGATACTGTTAGCTRCTCCTTCAGCACATCTGTCAGAATGTCACCTTCTGATCAGGATGCTTGAGGTTTACACAAATGCATATGGAAAGGCAGTAGTAATATGCTAGCAAAATATCTAGACTATTGACTGCAATAATATTTGAAGTTATTTTTATTATCTCCTATTAATTTATCATTGTCATATCATTTGGAATGACTAATCTCTCATACWATGTCTTGCCTTCTTAGTGTTGTACTGACCTTGAAACCCCTGCTGTTTCTTAACATGGTGTTGATTTAAGGATCTGCTTTCATTGTTTCAGACAGATGTGCAACTCAGTCAATGGGTCGAAGAGGTGCAGCTAAACTACGATGTGTATCTGGAAAAGGATGTTGACAGAGAAGCACTCGAACAGATACATTTATACAAGATTCTCTAGTGCCTGGAAAAATTTACTAGTATCCTTATGRTATATATTTTGGGCTTAAAATTAATTTGTATTGATTTGTGTGAATAAATCAGGTCAAAAATCATKCTGTGATTCATCTGATTCATATATACGGTTTTTAATGAAACAGAGTCTTCTGAAACAGATTTTCTTGTGGAGGCATTTTGCCTCCACAAAGAACAGGTTATTTTTACTTTTAACTAGGAGATATCCTCATGGTTTAATTTTTGCAGAAATGTTATAAAGACTGACTACATAGTAATGCTAAAAGAATTTTCAGTCAGTAGCATTGTGCACTGCCAATGTTTGCTAAATATATAAAACCTAAGAATAGTGAATCCTTATAAATGTGAATGATAAGAACGCATTTAGCATAATGCTACTTAAAAGCTGTAGTGCTGTTTCATTTTGGTATAAACCATTTATTATTATCAGTAATAATATTTATTATTAACAGGATTATTTTTAGTCTTCTCCTGTGGAAGGAAGGRTTTTTTTCCAGGGTCTGCTTGATAACCAGGTTATCTACTGGCATCTGTTACAAGAGAGACAAGTTCATTTAGTTAGTTGTCATTAAGGTGGGTATTAATATAAAATAGTGAAGGACACCAAGTAGCCATTGAGAACTAATACAGCAAGTCCAGGATGATGGAACTCCTTTCCACCTCCTGCACTTCTGCTGCAGATGGTAGGAACTGTAATAAGGGGTTAAGAAGCTGAAAATTCTGAACAGGTGTCAGGGCTTAGCAGAGGCTTGGTGGTGGCGTAAAACACTGGAAATTCGWAACAGAGCCTCCTCAGAGAGAAAAGATCCACATACGCCCACCACATTTATATTTAGATTTTACGTTCTAAGGATGTAAAGCTTTTAGTCAGCTGAAGAATGTTTCGGGTTTTAGCAAACATTAACAATCCCAAGTGCAAAAATACTAACTTCAGGAGTTTTGGACRAAATGTGTTGTGAATTTAGAAGCACTGTTAAAAAGTTTGCTGCATAACTTATGTCTAGTGTAAATGGGAAAACATTGAATTGGATTTCAGTCTTCAAATGATGTGCAGGTCAATGACTTTGATAATGCATGTAAGCAAAAAGGATCAGTGCCTTCAGGCACTCCCTGACACAGTTATAAATGGGAATGTACAAAGGATAATGAGTTTTAAGAAGTCTTACTTTCATGGCCTGTTAGGAGTGGAAGACGATGTTTTAATTTGAGTGATACTGAACTGCTGCCCAATTGCTGTGTTGAATCTACATGCATTTAAAAGTGAATAAAGATGGAAAGCTTTTCTTAAAACATTTATGTTAGAACTGAACTGTAGATTACTTAGTTGCCAATGAGACAAGTGCCTCTAGGAAAGAAGCCTAGGAGAGGCTAAGCAGCAGGGTGTAGGTAATGCAAGGCTAATAGATCTAATGAGGAGAGAATAAAAACTGAGAAAAGAAACGCATGTGCAGTTCAGAATGAGGAAATGAGCACTGTAGTAATCAGTACAGTGGAATCTGTGAGTGAATTGGAGTATATAAATAGGCTGCTATAAAAGGAAAACTGAATGGGTCATAAAAAGCTACTTCATAACCCTACTACCATGTGAGAAAAAAACCACCATGTCGGAATGGTTTTTACTTTTTTTCCAGAGGTCCTGCAGGATCTCCTGAATCAATTGTCAGCACGTAGAGCTCTTGATACTGAGTATGATCTGTGCCCTGCACCTTGTTTTGGTAATATGGGAACTACAACTTCCATTGCAGTTGTTTCCCCTCTTCATGCTGAGTCTTCAAATACTTTTTTTGGGTGTTGATCTCAGATAAAAAAAAAAATTTCAATAGACTGGAGCAGATCACCAGCATATTTAATGACATCTGTATCCTCTGACTCTGAAAATAGCATGCTCACATCTGGTGCTCATATGCAACAGAGGGTGCAAAAGGGAAGCTCCCCCTGTCTCTTTCAGACATCAGGAGAAACTCAAGAGGTGAGTTCAAGCTGCTGAAATGTGTGTTTCCCTCTCCTGCTCTTCATGAGTCCTTGACTAAAACCCTCACATCGACATATTCACAGAGACAAGGTGGTGGTAATTCAGTTTGGGTTTGTTAAACTGATACTAAGAAATACAACTCCTCTGTCCTTGTAAAAACCTCTTTCTAACTTGACTTCATAGGGCCAGAGCTCACAGGGCTGCTCTTTAAGCTGTTATGAGCTAATTGGTTCACCTACTGAAGAGCTAGAAACAACTAGTGTATGAAAATTGTCTCTTTTCCAGCTGGCCCCTCTTAGACCTGTTATACATTCACACACAAGGGTAGCAAAGGTAAAGTGTGATGAGGTTTGCAAAACCTCATGTGAACGTGGGCAAATCAGTCCTCCTTGTGCATGCTCAGAAGTCTTCAGACGTCAGCTGAAATCYTCCCCAGAGTGTGTGTCTTGCCTCAACTCAGGTTTTGCTTGTTCAGCTCGAGGAAGCTGCCAAAGGTATATTCAGCATGTCGAGTCCTTGTTCTTGGTTGTGTTTCTGCTGAATTGCAAAGTGTTTGGCCAATGATTGAACTTTTCTCTTCTTTGGTGTCTACAGTGAAAATGAGAACAACAAATCCAAAATTGGAGGAAGGGTGTGAATTAATCGATTATCAATTGCTTTGAGATTGTCATATAAAAAGTGTTAAGCAGCTGAGCTCTTCTTTTGTAAACTGACCTAATTTTAAATACCTGAAAGGCAAAGAAAATAGCAGTACCTCTCTGAGATACTTTCTGGCTCTTCACCTGACAGCATCGAAAAGGAAGCATAGATTAACTGCACTGTAGTGCTGAAAATGTGTAAATAATTACCCAGTGCTCTCRGTTTTTACACTGCCTTTGCTGTTAGATGACCACTGGTGTTGGGAGGAAGGGAGAGGAGAGAAACACACCCCAACTGGTGCCCAGATTTTTGGGTCTGCATGCAGGACAGCCCTGTGRCAGCTGCTGCGGATGCCACAAGCTGCCAGCACTTTGTGCCTTCTGCCCCCCTCAGCTCTGGGGCTGCACAGCTGGTGTGTGCTGCGACTGCATGTGAAACACAGCTCTGGAGGACCTGACAGAGGCCCCAAGCCCAGCTAAAACAGCAAAGCACCGTGGTCATGAACAACTTGTAAATCACAACATTTCACATTTGTAGACCTGAATTAGAACAAATCAATGAGGGGGATGCATCTGCAGCGCTTGTTACCACCAGGAGTTTCTGTCACACATGGAAAGCAGCTCTGCTGTTCCCCAGTAGCATAACTTCCCATGCAGTATCCGGGTTTCTGCAGAAAGCCATCTGAAATTTAATGCCATCAAGAATGACTTCTGTACTAGTAATAGAAGAAAAAAACTTTCTGGATCCACTGTAATAGCACAAAAGATGTCAAGCCATAAGAATGATGGATTGACTTTGCAGACAGGAAACATTGCACATATTTTTACTTGAGACTTTGTTTTCAAAAAATCACCAAATGCCTAGTGAGGGCAGCCCGGCTCTCAAAGGTGCATCATTTTCCATGTATCTTTTTTCACRATAAGCAATTCTAGGAGGGGCTAATGACCCATACTAGGGAAAACTTGACAGTGGAACAAGTTTGAAAAACCCCAAGTCCAGCTCCTTCATTCCTCACAATATGTATCCTCTGTTTCCTAGGTTTCTCTTGTCTCTTGTCTCTTCTTAGTTGTATTTTCTCTCCCTGCTGTCAGTGCCAGGTCCAGCCTGTGGTGCTCTGCCTGAGTGTGGCTGCAGCCTGCATGTTTTCTTTGTTTCTGGAAGACAGAAATAGCAAATGTGACTGGTAACTTCAGCTGAGCAACTTCTAGGGTTCTCTGCAGACTGGAATAATGATGGAAACTTTTTAAGGGGCTGCTTTGTACTCTCCAGGAATTCCTTGTGGGGACTCCAGTGAAAAGGGCACAAYCTGCTCCATCTCTGAGGGCTCACAACAGACTCTGGCTCTGGCTGCCCCCTGCCTACCCTCAGTAAAGCAGGAGTTGACGTGCACAATGCCACCACTCTGCCAGCATTTTAACAAATGGCCTCGTATGCCTTTGGRCTGTCACAAGCCCTCTGTAGTAGAGGGGGTTGTACTTGTAGAAATAGGAGGTAGAAGGTGGCAATGCTACTTGGCCAGCAAATGCATGTTAAATGTTCCTGCTGGAAATGTCTATACTTCCACTCACTCATTATTTGAGAGTAGATTAATGTGGCACAGTGTTTTGGGAGAGGAAGAGAGATGGAACATCATGTTTAAATACGTACGTTTTCAAAATTACTGAAACTCAGTGTAGCTTGTRTCTCAAAAGACTGACATATTTGTGTTGCCCTAGGGGTGAGTCTTTTCCAACAGGAGCAAGGTAGCAGTATGCTTGATGGTTTAGAACTGATCACCTCCAGAGTCCCTTACAGCTTGTAACAGAGGAGTCTGCTATGTGAAAGGGTGCTGGAGTCATTCCCCATCCAACAAAGAGATCTTAAAATCCCAAACCCAGGAGGTCACTATTAGTTGTAAGTCTTTTGTATTAGCATTTGCTTTCCCCCTTTTTTCCTGCCGCATGACCTGTGTGATGTCCCAGCTCCTCCTGCAGTTTTACTACTGCTTTACCTGGAGACCCTGTCCTGGGGATTTTTGYATTCATGCTTCTCCAGAGACTCAATTCCTCCCACTTGGTGAGACAGAAGGAAAGAAAAACAGTTTTCATTCTTCATCACAGGATGTATCAGAGTCCTAGGTTCTTCCTGATCTGCCCCTCTCTCTGTGAAAATGTCTGTGAGGGCTTACTTTCCATCCCCTGGCTCAAGCCCCACCAAACACCTACAGGGCAAGTGGAGGAGAGGGRAGGTTCTGCATCTTTGCTCAGCTGTGCTTCCCCAGGTTTACCCAAACAGGGAAGGCAGCCAGCCAAAACTGTCAGCCTGAGCTGGAAATATCAAGGATGGGGAAAKTTGGCAAGAGATTTCCTGCCTAAATTTGAAGCTAGAGAGTTGCTAGCAGCCCCAACAGAAATCAGGCCCCTCACACAGTATTGTGTGAGCATATGTATTGTGTATGTGTATATATATATATATCCACCCACATAATGAGATTCTGCTTATCCTCCAGAGTCG